AATATTGCAAGAGTTTGATTTAGGATTATATACCTATTGTATGAAAGAAAAATATTTTGTTTGAAAAATGGTGATTTTTCAACTTCAGTGTCCCCTCAACCCCCCAGTGAAACCTTTCCCATTGACTTGCATTGGGAACATTTTGGGTTTCAGGTCATGCTTTCCCTGTTTGTGCTTCATTCAAGCTTCCAGACAAGATGCTAGTTGTAGTAGCACAGTCCTTCAGTAGCTGAATTGCACTCAACTTCTGCTTAATATTGGATACTGCTTTCTAGTCATTTGAAAACAAAACTAAACGAGCACGTGAAGGAACACTCTTAGGCTGTGCTATTTGCAGCCTGCCCTGCAATCTTCCACCAACTCAATGTCCTATCACCTCTGCAAAAGGAACCATGAGATGGAGCATGCCGTGTCCCTTTATGCCTCTGGCTTCAGTCCTTACAGTGGATTATAGGTAGTCTATTGTCACAGTCAACAGACTTCTAATTAGAAGTACTGCAATAAGCTCATCTTAAATGCTTTATAAACCTTCTCAGTGTCCCAGTATGTTGTAGTACAAATGATGAATATGATCCTGTTCTGTGTGTTGAAGGAAACAGTTGTATCTCTGTTACTGTAGTTAGTAGTTACATAGTAGTATCCTAAGATTTTGAAGAAAGTTGCCATGTTACTATACTGAACTGAATGTGAATCCTGATGATTACATTAATGCCTTTTAATGCCTGATTCCATTAAGTCAACTGTGTTCATTTATTCTGATACAGAAAATGAGGTAAAATTCTTCTAGAAACTGTGGGATAAATCTGCGAGAAACTGTTTCAAGTACTAAATATCAAGTCTTTTTAATAATCTGATTTTTTTCAGAAAAAGTCCAGCATCAGAAGCCAAAGATACCAGAGCCAAGGAGTCTGGAAAGTCAACAGCAACAATCTAGTTCTGGTGAAAGCTATAGAAAACAGTTGGAACAGATTAAACTAAACTGTGTTAGCGCCAGAAAAAAATGGCCAATTCAAGAAGTAACACAGAAAAGCTGCTATAGAGAGGTAAAGCAGCAGGA